TTTAGGGAGTTCCCCTGGAACTATTTTCAGGGTCCAGGCCTGACTGAAGAAGGGAAAAAGGAAGCTGAAACTTAATTGATATATGCCCTGTGTTTTAGGTAGAGCTCTGTTGTAAGTGGGTTAGCTAGTAGTGGATGCCAATGAGAAGAGTTACCTCTGCTGGGTGACTGAGACTACTTTCTGACAGGAAGATCCCAGCACAACTGATTATGCCAGCAGTGAAAACAGGCAAAACCATTGATATGATCCATTTTTTCCTGCTCTTGAGGCTGAAATGAAGAGAATTGAACTTTCAGGTCTTAATAGCCTTTTACAGCTAAGTCTTTATCAGAACCTGCTGGTGGACCCTATATTACAGTCCACACATCCTGCAGTCTACTGTAACTTACTGCCACGGACACTTGAATTGCTCAGGTGTAGCTTCTCTGCCTTTCTTACTGGAAAAGAGGATGCACAGGAAAATCAAAGGTCACCCCCAAGCTCCTTCATTTCCATGGTTATAGAATGATTGACAATGCTTGTAGCTTGCTGACAGCTGCCCTTTTTGACCATCTGTCCATTGGTAGGGTTTGGTGTCAAACATGGGGGCTCAATAGAATTAATGCTGTTCTGATTGATAGTCTGTACCAGAGCAGATCATGTAAATTTCCAAAGGATTCTTGGTTCCCTTGGATCTGCTAAAAATGTAAAGTGTTTTTCCATGACAATGCAGGTTTGTATGCTATAATCTAAAATAGCACTGTAAGAATTATACTAGGTGAGAGTATGGCATGCAAGAGAGACATAGCAAATTTGTTCTTGCTGCTAAACTAATTGATATTTGCTTAGATCAGAGGAATTTCTTACAGATTGCAGGTACTCCTAAGTTGTTGCAGACAGACACTTGGGGTGCTGCAGGGTTTGCTTCTGACTGCAACCCTTTATTAATATATACAGGTCAGATTAACAAAGTGTCAAGTATTTTTCAGAGAGCACTAAACAGGGAGATCTTGCAAACTGAAACTGCAGAAAGCCTAGAAAGAAAAGGGTGACTAATACAGTAAAAAAAGTTAATACAGTAAAAATTGCCTTCAAATAGGCATATTCAGTATCCCCAATAAGAGGTAATCTAGGCAGTAATATTCAGCTAGAAAAGAGGAGCTGGAGGGGCAGAAATGCTGGAGGATAACTTTTGTAGAAAGGATTCAGCACAATTAATACTGAAACCCTCCAGAGATAGTCCCCCTCCCCCAATTCGAGAAAAATGATAATCCTGGGGTGTTCCTCACTCATATGCTTGCATATTTCTAAAATGTTTATTTAATTTGGTGGGTTAGAACAAGGCTTGGAACAACGTAAAGTTGTGTGTTTTAAAATTCCTTGTGGAAGCATTTGTAGGGCTGTCTGTGGAGGTGTTTTACTTGATTTTTAAACTACAAAAACTTGTGCCACCATCTACCAAGTATTCTATATAACTGGGAGACTTACTTTCACAAGAAAAGAGTTTGTTTTCTTTTATGGTTTTGGCATCATAATTTTTTCATTTTACAAACCTTGTATTACCCTCTTTAATAGCACCTTAGAGATGTATTGAGAGGCAAAAGAGTTGTTGACGAAACATTGGCAGTTAGGATTTAGGAGATCCAAAGAAGCAGAAAACCTATTAATAGCACAATTTCTTGGTTGTATTTTTCTACTTATTAAATATTCAATTAAGAGAGAGGATTTTTGTTGAAAGCCAGTTTGTGATCTAGACTGTACTTAATGTTTGCAGTCTAATTACGGCATGTTCTGATGTGAATCTGTAGTGTTCTTTGCTTCAAAAGTCTCTGAAGGCAGACTTTTGCCTGTTTTTTCTGGATCTAGCAATCTTCAAGCATCAGTCTTGCATGAAGTTTGGATATGCTTTGTTGTCTTTAACACATTCGGATTTGTCATTAAAGTCCCCAGAAGCTAACTTGCTAGATGAGCTCAGTATTAGAGGCTGGGTACTTATTTCTTTACTCCTGCATTACGCAGAGGCCTTACTATTGGCCTGCTTCTGTCAGAACATAGAGGTAGTGTGTAGTTTACATCCCTCTATACTCTTTTCCTTTAAATAAGAAAAGGCATTAACTGCTGCAGAGATGGTTCAGTATGGAGTAGTTACGGGCTTTAGATGTGTCCTGTAATCTACTGTTGTTTTCACCAAAACAGCACTGAGAGGTTGCAAGGTTATTCATTACTGGTTGATCCAGCTCATAAATGGTAGGATACATGAGTGGCATGCCACAGCCAGCTCTCTGTGTTTTCCTGGTGACTTCTTTTGGAATAACTCAGCAACCAGCTGAACTACCTGGATTGTCTTGGTCATGTTAGCAGCAGCAGCCTGTGTTCCTTGTGGCCTGGTGAAGCCCTGTATCCTGTGGTCACTCTGTGTGTGTAGAATGAGCAGAAGGAGCGCACAAAGCCATTACTCCTTGCTATTCAGCAAATTGGGTGCCCAGCAGAAGCAAGAAGAAAGAATGGTTCTGTGCTCAAAGAGCTAAGTCGTTGCCTTAGCATCAGAATAGCCAAGTAGGTCTAACTGCTTGTGCTCAGTCATTCCAGTGCTGTTTCCGCAGCAACAAGCGTGTGAACTCTTATACCAGCTCCAAAATAAACTGAATTATCCTGCTATTGAATCCTGCTATTAACTTTGTGGATACAGTGTACTTCTGTTGCCTTCTCTAAATTGCACCGCTGTGAAACTGTCCAAGATTTCCCTCTGCAGGTAGGTGTCTATGTTTTTTTGAGAGATGGAGTGCTGAGACCTTTTGGAAATAAAAGTATTACATAGGCAAAAACCAGTTCATTATTTTTACTATATCAGAATACAGAAAGAATTGTACCATTTACTTATTGACTTGGGGATTCTTTGCTAATAAACATAATGTGAAAATGCAGAATTTAATTGTTACTAGTAAAAATTACTGTGTGCCCTCATTCCAGTATAAAATGCAAGTATCTAAAATATTATATCTACCTATTTTTTGAGCCAAAGAGGTTAATGCACAGAGCTTTGATTCAAAATAATCTTTCAGCCAGTTTCTTCATAATTAAAAATGTAGCCATTTTATAATTTTTAACACCATTGATTTACAATTAGGAGCTTTCTCACAATAGGGTACTAAATGTGTTGTTAGGTGAACACAAACTAAACAAAAAGATATGAACTGAAATTTAAATTGAAAATTCAGGGCTCTTGAAAGACCTGGATGTATAAGTTTGTGGACACTCTCACTTCTCTCTTTTAGGGTCCCCTTGAAAATCCCATCATTGAGCTTAATAAATGTGATAGGGACAATTACTGATAGCCTTCATCTAGCTGGTCTATCAAGTGCATTTTTTTACTCAGAAAATGGTTTAAAAATTGCGTGTTTGCCTGTCTGACTCAAAAGCCATTTCCTCTGTTTATTCAGTTGTATCATCTAACTACTACAAATACTGTTTTTACTCATATCAGCATGAAAACTGCTAAGACTGAGTGAACTGCAGTTTGTTTAATCCTTGTCAACAAAATCAGTTATTAAACATAAAGCTGGTTATTTACACAAGCTCACTGAAGACTAAGATAGTTATGCAGAAGCAGGGAGCAGCCTAGTTCACTCCCAAGTCACAGTTTCCTTGGCTAAGCAGCGAGGAAAATAGTTTTCTGTGAACTGAATGTATGTTTTGCAATCATTAACACCTGCTGTTCTTAGCTGATTTTTCAATTCTGCTTTCATGACCTGTTCTTCCCTCCACTGAAAACCTTAGGAATTTTGCTCTTGACTTCACTAGAAAACAGGACTGTATCCTAATTATTTTGATTTAAAGAATAATAAGTTTAATGTTGTATGTAAAATACTGTATTCTGTACCTTACTTAGTCATAAGTGACTAATTTACATCTCACGGAAGTGCTAGTCATCTTAAATTTTTATTACTTAGAACAAGATCAGAATCAAAAACAGGGAGTAGCAGAACAGATTATCAGATCAGGATTTCAGTGTAAATAATTTCTGCTTTTTGCCAATGTGTTCTTTTGGGAACTGGTGATGTTACATATTTTGATGGGGAGAGGAAAATGTTCTCCTTGTTTTTCGAGTGAAATAGCTTTATTCCTTCCTTTTGTCTGAACAGGTAAGTATCTGAATGTGGTGTGAATTAGTCTCTGCAGGTGTGGTTTGGGGAAAGTGGACAGGTGCCAACCCAGCATCATTGCTGCGAGTTGGTACCTCAGGGGAGGGAGAACAATCAAGGTGCATAAAACCCTTTCACTTCCATTTTCACCTGACTCCTGTCACCCAGCAGAATACCTCAACATGGCAGATTTGGACCACATAGGTTGCATATGGGGCAGACATTTCTTGCAATGCAATGGGCTCAGCTGAGCTAAGCTGCTGTGACAGGAATGCAACGTATTGCTTGTGTAAGCCTAAGATTATGGTATTCTCTGGAGAATGTTATCTTAGCTAGCTTTGCAAAGTTTTCTAGTAGCACAATTTTTATGTTGCGTTGTACAATGTTACTGGCTATGGGCAGCAGTGCACTCTGGCAAGTTTTATGCCTTTTACAAGGGGAGCAGACTCCATCTGATTATCTGTTGTACAGGTTAGGCAGTGTTGTGAAGAATACTGAAGTCTTTCTTCTCTGCCTCTTACCATCCAGATTCTGTGAAAAGGCACTTGGAAGGCCAACAAGAGACGAAGCTATCTCAAAACTGCTTAATGGAGACTTTAACAGTTAGAGCAAAGTATATAAAAGCACAGAACCTTCTAAGTTTCAGGTGAACCACTGGGTACCTTCATTGCAGTGACAGTTGCTATGCTTACACTTCACATACTTACATGTTATAGGATATATAGAGGTGATAAGGACAAGCATCAATAATCAGTTTTCTAACACAAAGTGAAGATCTGTGAGTATTCTTTGTGTTGTGAAATAATGCTAAAGAGTGGAGGAATTCAGATGTCTTCACTAAGTTTGCCTGAGAATGAACTCCTCTGTTTTTGTTACCAGGAACTCATCGGCAGTGGGTCACGGCTGTTTCTGCTATGCTCTAATGCGCTCAATTCCAGTTGCCATCTACATCATTTTGGTAACAGGTCTGCGTTACCACCTGTTCATATGGAGCGTCTTCTCGCCAAAACTACTATATGAGGGAGTGCACGTGTTCATCACAGCTGCTATCTGCCTGTTCTTCACAGCCATGGATCAGAACCACTCTCACAGAGTGCAAGATTGAAAACAAATGTGCGGTACGCAGTTCTGCTTTGCAAGGTCCAGTGTGTCACTGGAATGGAAGAAGGAAAAGAATGGCTTTAAGTTGTTGTGCAGAGTTTGAAGAGTAACCTTGTTTATTTTAGTCAAGATCAGGGTTTGAAGGGTCTGTCCCGTTTTAAAACTGAGTTTGCTTTAAAAATGTTGAATTGAAATAAACTACATTTTCATGGATAATTTTGTTCTATACCTGTCATTATACCACTCTCCAAATAATAGAAAGTTAATATTACATGATTTGAATTTAAAAATGTATGTTTTAATGTAAATATAGAGCAGTGCCTCATGGGCACTGAAAAAAAACTGTTGGACATACAATTTTTTTACCTTTACTGTAGAATCCTGAAAATATGCAGGATTTCTTGGTGCTGCTCACAAGATCTTATATGCATTAGCGTTGGAGGGGGGCTGTTTGTTTGGTTTCTAATGTGTGCATTGAAATTATTATTAAATTATTGAATTACTTTACAACTATCCCAGGTAAGAGATCTTTTGTTTGGTTTGCATAGGCAGCATTTCTATTTAAAGGTAGTATTTTCTTTGTAAGGTGAGTGCAATCATCTGTAATGGATTTTGATCAGCACTTCAGGCACTGGATAGGAAACACTAATGGGCTAACAAAGTAATGAATCCCATTCACTGCTAAAATTTTGTGTTTCTTTTTATTTATGTATAAATTTTAAATAAGGTTGGTGGCAGCTGTGCTGAACATTTGATCATGTTTTCCACGCTAGGGTAGAGAGTTATGAGCCACGGGCAGGAAAACAGTTTAATGGGCTAAGTTACCAGTAGAATAGGTGTGTTTACATCACCTTCCCCCTAGTGACCTGTCTAGCCACCTCACTTGAATGTGCTATAATTAATTCCTAACAATGTTGTTTTCCTTGTCTTCTGTCAAGAAGATACACACTGATGACTATCCTGAGTATCAGTATTCTTTATGTGGGGCTTTTTGCCTCATGTTTTTGTCCATGTTAGCAGCTGGTAGGATTTAATCTAAATGTATTAGAGGTGTAGCAGAAGAGAAGCATACAGGGAACTTTAACTTTAGTTAAAAATCTGAAAAAAAAAAAAAGCTTTTAAGTTCTATGTAGCTGACAGCACATTTGTTAGGATCAGTGATACGCTTTTCATCTCATGTTTCAGACAGAGTAAATCTCAAAAAGTAGGCCTTTAGTTTTTATACATTAATAGCAGGCCATCTTGATCACTAATAATGAATTTTTTTTCAACTGTAAATCAATAAAATTTTCAGTACATTGGCCACATTTTGTTGTTTACCTGGAGGAGAGACTACTGGATCTTAATGTCATTCACTGTGACCTGTTTGAAAATGATATACTTTTAATAAATTGGTTTTCACTGTAAATTGTGGAATGTTTAAAACAGCTTATTACCATTTCCATCATTCTCAGTATTTTTCTGGTTACCTGTTGCCTAGCAACCATATGGGGATTATCGACATCTTCTCTGTCTGCTTACTTGGTTAATTCCTAAGCAATCCTCCCTAACGTTCATACAGAGTATGTTTATAAGAGATTTTACTCAGAGAGAAGGGGTGCTAATAAAGAGAGGGAAGGGGTGGAGGGGAAGTTGCTTCTGGGGTACAGAGTCCTAAAACAATGTGGGGTGACATTCACAAGATCTTTCATTCCTTCCTTCTGGTATTTTTTTGCTTCAGTATATCTCTTGGACATTTTATCAAGTAACCTATTGTGTGTCTATTAAGGTTGCATTTCTTCAGATTACTTAGTTAAATAATCATATTGTGCCCTTTCTGCTCTGAAGTTGAAAGTGTCTGGATTGAAGCCAGAAGAAAATAAATGGCTTGGAACAACTCTGTTATTTAGGTCTTCAAGATCAGGAAAGGAAGGAAGGAGTAACTTAGACTGCATCTCTGTCTCAAGTTAACACATGAGTTTGGGCGATACCTCAAGGAGACATGGTGCTTTGAACTTGTTGAGTTGCCATTTTTATTTTTTTTCACCCTTTCTCTTTGTGTATAGGCAAATGAAATACTATTTTAACTTCATCAGCTTTTGGGCTATGGCAATGACTTGAACTGGAAAATTATGTAAAAATAATTTTATTTTAAATCAACACAAAGTTTTGGCAATTGACCTGAATGTACAGAGAAAGCAAACACCTGAGTGCAAATTCTTGTCTCACTAGTTAGCTGCTCCCCTTCCCCCCTCCTCCCAGCTCCCGTTGTTCAGCGTGTCCC